GTATGGCTCATTGGGTGGAGCACTTTTGAAAACAATTCACTTGTCCCCTGCTTTTGGACCTCGTCCTACTCAGGTGTTGCAGGCTGAGCCATGGCTGAAGTCCGAAACGCGATCGCTGCCCCCAATCGTTTTCTTGCTGCTGGTTCGGATTCCCTCTCATCCGCACTATATAAAGATGGTGGTGAGGTCCTCTGCAAAGTACTGACCCCCTTCCTCGAACAGGCCTTGAAGGCAGAGGCCATCCCAGCTAACTGGAGTAAATCAATTATAGTGGCGATATACAATAAGAGCAGCCGCACCGACTGCGCTAACCCCATGGGTACTTTTACGGGATAAGGCAAAAACATTAAGCAAAACCCGTTATTTCGGTAGTTATTCGATTAACTTCAATTGTGCATTGATTCCGAAGATCCTGGTACCTTCCATTCCTTCGCATGATTGCCAATATACGGAGTTCTGGCAAGGAAGCTGCTATTTTTACCAGTTCATTTTCTGGAACCCGAAGGCCACTGAGCTACCTATATTTTTGACGTGGATCTGGCGTAGTTATACAACCTTTTGGCGGCGTTCTGGCTACGCCACGGTGTTTTTGTTAACACATTTTTCGCAGTCAAGCTTGTTGGATTTCTGCTTTTCCTTCGGCTTGGCTAGAATTCTTTCGGAGAATTTTGGGTTTTCAATTCGGAATAGCGAAAAACTTGATTATCTAACAGTACTAGCCTAACGTCTGTGGTGACAAAATTACCTACCTCAATCCACCTTCATCGCCTCACTGCGGCGCGAGAATCACGGATTGGGAAAGAGCAGACAGGCTTCCTCCCAGGACGTGGCTGCATGGACCACATATTCACTCTGCAGCCGGTGGTATAGCAGCATCACACGTACCGCAGGCCGACTGCAACTGTGTTCGTGGGTTCCAAAAGTGCGTTCCACTCAGTCGACCAATGAATTCTGTTCGAAATGCTAGTGTGAAATAGTGTTTATGAAGTATGTGGATATTTTGCGTGCCCTATACTCGTACACGACAGGTCATGTCAAGGTTTACGGCGATTTGTCGGATGTCTTTCCGACAACAAGTGGCGTTCACCAGGGTTGTCCAATTTCCATTTTATTGTTCAATTTCCTCGTGGACTCTATCGTGATGTGTTCCCTTACGGAAGCTCACGATGTATACGTTGTTGTCCTGCCTGGTGAAATGCTAGTTGATCTTGCTTATGCAGACAATATTGTCCTGTTTTTTTTAACGATGCTGGGACGGCATAGTCATCCCTGAATAACCTCTCATGTGTCATCCCATCATTTGGAATGCGCTTCGCACCTTCAAAGTGCGAAGTGTTGCTGCAGGACGACCAGCCATTTGGTGACTCCCTTGACCCTTTGATATCGAGAAACTTGAGGTAATTGGTCACTTAACTTACCTTGGCAGCCGCATCGGCAACGATGACCGCATAACGATCGAAGTCAATTCACGTATTACGGAAGCTGAAACTGCCTTTTTGAATCTGCAGTATCTGTGGCGTCAGAAAGATCTTTTCCTCCGTCTAAAGGGCAGCGTACACATGGTCCCAGTGAGAGCCTTCCTGCCCTATGGAAGCGAGACTTGGTCCCTCCCATCTGAGGAAGTGCGGCGCCCTGAATTCTTTGACCATCGTTGTCTGCGAAGCATTGCTAATATCACATGGCACCAGCGTGTTCCCAACGATGCTTTGTGTAGGCGCGTACTAGACAGTGCTAATTTGGTCAGTTCCTTAGAACAACAGATAGGACTGAATAAGTTGCGTTGGCTTGGACACGTACGACGTATTCCTGGTCACCGCTTACCTTGGAGGGCCTTGTTTTGTTTGACAGATGTAGGGTGACCTAAGGCCCGAGGTTGGAAGAAGTTGACTTGGCAGCGTGAAATGAAGTCACTGACAACCAAACTGGGTGCCGTAGGTCCGTCTCGTCTTCCGGGCTCGAGCCCACTTGACCCGCCTTGTGCTTGACTTTAGATGTTACAGGACATGGCTCACAGCCGGACTGCTTGTTCAAACTGTGTGGTGCTGAATCATCTGCAGGATAGTGGCTTATTGTGACGCGAGGCAGTGAAAACCGCAAGGAAGCTGTCTCGTCAATGCCGCCTTATCTTGTATGATAGCCAGATGTTTGTAATGGCATGTTGTTGACGAAGTGTAGGCAGCTTGACCCTTAGTGTTTGTTTAGGGTATTAAGGTTTTACCGTGGGACCCATCTCTTCCTCGTACTCTTCTTCGTTCCATAGGCCACCGTGTTTGTACGGCAGCGAAACATCAATTCAAATGGCTGACGTATTACTGTCGCTGTTGCTGATGATGTCTCTGTTTGGTGAAGTCCCAAAGGGCCACTGGTGGTGGGTTTGAGGTGACAATTGTTGTCACTTCATTTGGGCTATATCCGAATAATTGATGTGCACTTATATGACTGGTCTGGTTTCGCTGTATCCAGTCGTCCAATACTACCACCTCAGTTACTTGTCACCAGAAGAAAGGCGATGTACAGTCTTCCTAATATTGCTAGGCTCTAATAATGGTTCCATCCAGTGTCGAGCGGGCTACTTCCCGTTCATCGCCATTTGCACCTCTGGTATACATGTGTCCCTTAGACTTACTTCGATGATACGCGTTCGGGTGGTATATGTGTGGTGCTTCGTGGGCCAGTTATAGTTAATCTGTTTACACTGCACTCCTCTAAATGATCGCAATTACAATGGCTGGTAAATCTGGACGCGGCTCCCATCAACCCCAACTCTGCATTGGCAGGGTTATGAAGTGGCAATGGATTGTGAAAAAAAACACATGGAAAGCAAATTGGTGTTGGTTTATGTCCTATTCCCCTTTGAAGGCCTCCTGGTGGGCCACATCGTTGGTCAATGGCTGTATAAGATACGGATTGGGCAAAAAGTCACCTTATTTCTGACCGTTGTCTTCTCCATCTGACAATTTTAATTTTTTTATTCATCTCGGGTCCATCCCTTTCCTTCTTTGTTTTTCTTTGCAACCTTTGAGTTCTACCTTGCACTGCGAGTTATGGCAACTTTATCCATCACATGTTGTCCTATAAACCATGTTTGATAAGCGGAAAACTGAACTGGGTGTCACTAAGGCCGCTCACCTTTTTCATGCTGTGACTGTGGTGAGCTACTTTGTTTTCTGACTTACGTGCACCTCATGTAACCTCTTGGGGCTGGTCAGGATAACTCTGCTTTTCTTCTAGTTCGTAGTGAATTATGACCACTATCGTCGCTTGTTTCTCCAAATTTATATTCCAAAACTTTAATTGTTTACGCCAGGGACGGGACTTTACTAACTCGTACTTCAGGTTTAGATGGTGAAGCGAATCATTGCCGCCATTTTCATTACATGGACCGGAGATATAGGGAACCGATAACCGACACTCTCGAAACCGCTTTTATTTTACGAAATCACCAACTGATTAATGCCGAAGTCTGTTACTTACGTTTACCTTCATGACATGGGTCCATCTGTTGCGCACGAACCGCATATGCTGACCACGATGTGTTCTACGATTACCCACATCGAACCATGTTATTTGTCACTACTTTGCGTGTTTTGGTGGAGCTTTGTGGCGGCCAACAGATATGCGTAGGCACATGAATCCTCACACATCCATTATGCACATATTCTCAATATGTGATGCGATCCTACACACATCTCATCTCTGACACACGATACTCCATTGTATTGTTCTGGTCATGGTACTCTGCGCCAAAGGCTCATTGAGCTCAAACCTGAACCAGATGTTCCGGGCGGACGACGCTAGGAATCACTGACATCTTCGGTATCATGAACGTTGCACACGGACATGGTTTACAACATCCATAAATTGGACTTGTTTATATAGTAGCGCACATCAATTACAAGACCTCGTGCTGTTGTTTTCCTGCTCTTGTATTGTGAACTCATGTATTTATTTTATGGGAGAGCAAAAATGCGTTATTGGGAGTTATGAACACAGGTTTCCGTTGTGGTAATTGGACAAACGACGGCCCGTGACTTTAAGGATCACAAATCCGCCTTGTAATCCAAGGGTGTGGTTCGAACCTGCGTAGGCTCTGCGGGCGGCCCTCACAGTATCCTTAGCCTACGCCCGACTGTTGGTGGCTGCGCGGCAGCGAAGAGTCTGTACTGTGTACCGGTGTACTGCTGATGCCTTTTCTGTCTTACAAACTACGCAGATGAGCTCCATCGCCACTCACCGTCCGCTCCAATGCAGGGGTATACGAACATTTGAGATGTGCTTGGTCGAGTTCCTACCTTGACTTGTCCTGAACACAAACGTTGATACCGGCCACCCCAATAGTCTCAGTTACTGCCCGACATGACTTACTGGACCTCAGGCTATAAGTCTCTTCGTCGCATGCTGCTTACTTCGTCTTCCGGATTAGTGATCAGACCATCTGGCTCGTGCGCTGTCTGGATGAATCAGTAAAATTTCGTCAAGAACCCTCTTTCCTCACTAATTACTTGGTCTTGAATTCCTTCTCTATTCTTTTGCATATCTGCTAGCACTTTCTGCTTCATGTTCCGCAGATTTGCATTTCCTTAGTATCACGACAACAGGAGTTGATGTAACTACTTCCACCATACCTCGATACTGGGATCATGGTTGATTGTCTTAGCCAAACTTCATCTAACGCTCCAGCTAGGTGATCTGAACGCCAACCATGTATCAGTGCGACGGTGTTTGCGTGCTGTTCTTTTAGCACTGTCTATTAGTTAGAAAACAAAGCCCATTTTCGCCCTTCGCTTTTGCGTGAAACTGCTGTTGTTGGCTGTATAGCTGTGAACTGACCATCCACAGTATCGCGGCCTATCTGTTTCCCTCGTCAGCATTCTGAGCCCAGTGAAACACAGCAGGAGTCATTGCGTGATTCACCACTTGCGCCCTTTATCAGTGTTGTTTCACCCACGCAACTATATCGTTGCACTTCTGAGTAGCGGCCTTTTGCTTTTGCTTTCAAGTTTGTGTCTTCGATGTCACCAAGTTTGCACGGTATCACCCTGGTGGCATCGATCTCCTGCTGCAACACTCCGGAACGGACGCTACGGATGCCTTTCGTTTGGTAAGTTCCAGTTCTGCCTCTAGGTTCATTCTGTGATAATATGGCATCTGTTGGGTGTCTAAGACCGGTGTTTTGCATCGTTTACTGAACCAGCTCACTGACGTTCGATAAGTAAAAGCTAAGAACGTTGGTCCTTGAGAATATTTTGCTTCCTAAACCTTTACACATGTGTAATACCTTTATTATTCGAGTGGGTTACTTTGTACGTCCATCAATTATTTCATCATGTCGTTTGTTACTTCTGCACCCACCCATAACAAGATAGATAAATTCACGTGGTACAGCTTTCTCTTCACGGATTTCCACGTTGCTATCATGCGGACGACAGCGTAACCTAATTCCAGCAGCGGCGTCCTAAACTTAAGCCACCACTTGGACTACGGCATTACAAGTTTCGACCGGAGTAATGCTTCTAACGAAGTATTATGAGGATTTGCTTAGTCCAGACGATATTCATCATTCTCAATTTCCCGGAAAGTTTAGTCCGTGCCTTTAGATCATCGGGTCGAGTTTTAGTGCCAGTTGAAATACATGCTATCAACGAATTCCGAAAAAAGCTGTTAAGTGCATTTCATGATCTTGATAGCTGTTTAACTGCGGTGAATTTTATTTAAACCATTTTCTTTTCTCTTTGGGAACGCTTTCCAGTATCATCAGACTGTGTTCCCGAGAATTGGCGTTTAATCTCCAAGCGTTTCTGAATGAATCAGAGTTATAAACTAGCGTGTCGTCTTTACTTTATGACTTGATCCGTTTTCTCAGTGAGGAGAGAATCTTCACCACGAAACAACTCATGCTGACACATGTACATCATCGAGGGAATTAGCCTGAGAGACATGCTAGGTTTGGCCGTTTTTTGTTAATTTCTACGAATGCGTGGTAGTGGAGCTATTCGGCTTTCAATTGGCGTAACTGTTACATCCGTCATATGGTGAGTGGAGCCACTTTCTACTATACGAGCTACAGTCTGAATCACGTTCTCCAGTTTTTGTAGATTTTCGAATTTGCTTGCGTCGTTGAAATCACTACTCTTTCTCTGGACGTATTCTTCTTTGTTTATGATCACTATTCCCGAGCGTTGATTTGACCTCACTGTAATAAAACACATAGTAGCGTAGTGTCACTCGGGTTAAATCGACCTGATTTATGAAGTTCTTCCATTGAAACTGATCTATTCATTTGGTTTGAGATTCCTGTCGACTTATCGATACGCTCGATCTGATCAGTCTGTTTGACATGGCATGTGCTTTTTATCTACGGCATCCTCGTTCAGTATCCTCCCGCTGAAACTGATCGTTGCTCGCTGACTGCCATACAGCGTCATTGCAATGGAAGATCGGTAACTCTTCTATGTCGGCGTTGCTTTTACATTTGGAGATACCACGACGATGGATTTAAGCTCTGACTGAATTGACTTTCGGCGAGGGTTTTGGGCACACCCAATATCTAGCACCATCGATCACCGAAGAAAGGTGTGTTAGTGGGGAAAATTATGGGCAGACTATACAATATCCAGATTAGTTTAAATATGGTTAGAAGAAGTCGTGAGCAGCTGTCAACCAGTTAATAAACCAAATACCAACCGCCTTCTATGGATGCTGCATTGAAGTACTGGACCTGCCCATTGCCATCCTTGCTCACGCGATTCCTCTACTTGGTGGTCCGCTTCTGCTGCCTTCAGTATAGGTCTATAAACTTTCGATCATTCTGTCCGTAGAACAGTTGTCAGTCCCTGACAGAAATCCACTGCCGTTAGTTATAGACGTTAGCACAACAAAGTTTTTGAATGACGCATCTGATGTCCATTTGTCAAGTTTCTTCGCCCAGTGTCTCGCCTGGTGATCACGTTTGTCTGGAAGTTGGCTGTTGAGAATACGTGTGCAAATGTTGCTTTATCCTTTCGTCTAGGCCTTTTGTACATAGGTCTTTCATCATCGTTACGTTCTCTGGTGGTGCACCTTGCTTTTGCGGTTTCTTTGCTTTTTTGGCAGTTGGATCGATGACTGACGTATAGCTGTTCACAGAGTAACCCCGTTAGCGCCATTTGGTTGTTTATTGTGTAACATTGGATTACCTCGGTCCTATAAGGGTTTATCTGCAAGTGAATCGTTTTACAGCTCCATCGCACTGTCAGAATTTCTATTATCATTTTATTACCTCGACTCCACTAACAAAGTTTGGCGCTAAGTTTTCCTGCGCGATCTGGTATTTCGTACACGTAACCCCACTTTACCCCTCATTACGGTTCTTGGAATCCCAAAACAATATGCAGGCTTTCCTCCCATTGTCCGAATTATCCTGATAGTTTTTTATAGGGGTTTTCTGTTTTGCTCTTCCTACAATTAGGCTCACTCATACGTAAACGTTGACATTATTGGGAAATTCCGGAAAGGATTTCTTCAACGTAATAAACCAGGCACGCATACTTTTCGCAGTGAGTTTCCTTACATGATGCCTTGGGTTTTATTCACCTCACATTTATTTGTCAGAATCTGTTATTTTTACGACCGATATGAGTATTGCTTTGCCCACGTCTGCAATGTGGGATAAATTTTTTTGTGTTGGGTGCCACGGATTCCCTCAAGAAATATCGTATCCTTACATGGATTAGTCGACCAGTTTGAGGGTGACGAGGCAACTATGTATACCAATTTTGGTTCGGTTATTGTGTGACGTTCCGGCATGACCATTGCATGCATCTCAAGTAAGAGCGGTTTCCACCCAACTTTGCAATTTCGCCAAGCAATCGGCATTCCTACCCCGTTCATCTGTTTACAAAATTCGCATATCTTCTCCTGGTCCACGTTGCATCCACGATCCCCGCACTTTCACATCGTCTTTACTCGTCTGCCTTTGGCTGAAAGGATTATACGCCTATCTTGTAATCCGGTGGTCCGTGATTGGAATCCGAGTTTTTGCGAACAACCTACGCACAACCGTTGGGGGTCACATAGCAGCGTAGCATCGGTGCAGTGTCAGCATAATGTTGGTGCCTTTTATTCGAAAGGAACCCACTACTACCTCCTTGTTGATTCCCTAACGCACAGTAGCTGAAGGAAATTCTCATCGAGCAGGGCTCCGCTAATCCTAACCGCATTCAGTATGTGAACACGCGCTAAGGTTCGGCTAAGCAAGTAGTTGCTGCTTGCTTCAACGCCGCTACCTACTCTTGTGGCCCCCAGTATATTGGGGCATCGTTAGCACCAAGTGTAGCCGAGTTTATTCCTACCCACATACTTCCAATTCTATACACACCGGCTTCATCTCTCAGTTACGACATTGAGTAAATAACTCCAAGGCTCACGTGCGAAGTTCTTCGAAGCTCTGTGCCTTTGTGATCGCATTTTCCCTCCTTTTCTGCCTTGTTAACGACCTGTTGGATAGAATCGCCTCACCTTCCTACATGCATTACGTTGCGAAGTGCTCCCAATTTTCCAATGAGCGCAAATAGTGTGTCCTCGACGGACCATATGATCCACTTTAACTGGCTGGTACTCGCTGGCTAACTCATTTGTCTTGTTTTTAATCCACTGATCGCGTCAGGGAATAGTGAGATGATGTAAGGCGTGACGTATCTGCATAGCTAACATGACGGCTGCTTCTTCGACTTCACTCGTTCATAAACTGTAGGAATAAAATCACTTGTTATCTGATCCCTTTTGGTGTGACTAACTCGCCCGTCTGGTCGGGATATGTATCGCTTCATGTGTTACTCTAGTTCGAATTCAGCGCTTGTTCCCGACGAGCATCTATTCCCATTCTGTGTGTGTTTCCCACCAGTCGGGCGTTTTGTGTTATTTGTGCCCGGTACATCGTCCTTTGTTTCAGAATTCCTCTCCCCTAACGCACCTGCGCTCCCCACGCGGACTGAATCCAAAAAGCCCAAGTAAGCTATCACCTGTTCAACATCATTTGCACCGATCTTTATTCTCTTAGCAGTGTTCTGCTATCCTGATTCGCTAGCTTTTAGGTGTTTTGCTTTTTGTTGCTGTTTCATTTGCGTGAACAATTGTTCCTTATTTTCTCAGTGTATGTAACCGGGGAGTACGACTGAAGCAGTTATGTGTGCACGATCTGCCTATCGCTTCTGATGCCAGCGTAGGTTGTCACATTGCTACGCTTAATCTTCTTTGCTCTCACCCGGGTCCCGCGTTGACTGCGTAAACCTTACACGATTTTCTTCTGTCATCTACTTTGTTGTGAAATCTACTTTCCTTTGTGCATGAGTGGATTTTTCTTTTTTTTCGACTAAACTGAAACAATGGTTCAGTCAGTGTGAATCCACCATTTACTACACCTCCTCTAGCGTCACCTGAGTTGCGTGCTCCGCTTCGACCGGTTTACAGGGTAAAGTTAATATCTTTCTACTGGTACCTATGTTTTTCACTACCCTTTTGAGTACCCCGTCTGTGGTCTCTTGTCTCTGAGTTGCACTCACGGTCTACTGCAGGCCACAAGCATTCCCTTTTCGCCCAACTTGCATCACATGCTCCTTCGCCGACTCCTTATATAGCATTTCCAACCTATTTTTCTATGCCATTGCATTAGGCAGTGGCATGAGCTCTTGCCACATCTGTTCGATTCTTTTTTATCACCACTCTTCTGGCCACCTGCTTTGTCACATTCAGCGCAATCCTTTTCATATCCGAACAAGGATCTGCCATCTCTGAATTGAGTCTCATATACTCTCTTCCAGTGAGGAATCAGTAGTGTGGTAGCCCAGCTTGCATTCTCTTCACCTCAGGTTCCAGTCCCTTTTCACTCCGAAGTGTAGACGCCTTGGTAATATCCCAGCCTGCATACAACAATTGGCAGTTCCATGGTATGTAGTTCCCTTATATTGCTGTCACTCCAGATCCACTTCACAGTTGTCGCATCTTTGTGACAGCAGACAACTCGTGATACGAACTGCCCTACTGTGAATGATGTTATCCCCTGAGCACAGCACACGATCTTTATTTCTTCCCTAGTGTGGACCTGAGTGGTTCGTTCAAGGTCGGATTCGATCGCACTACAGATGGACACGTTGCTATTGGTACAGCTGGTTACCTCTCTTAACGTCACATATCATCAAATTCTTAGAAGATACTTGGAACCGATCGATCAGTCATGAGTTCAGAGAAGTTTGGAAACAGTCGGTTGGTATAGTAGTTTGAAGTCGCATATCATCCTTCTAATCTAGCTGGCGCGTCGCAGCTCAGTGTCATGAATGATTCCGCCGATGCGTACGTCTATGTAATTATCTGAGGCATTTTTATGTTGTCTCGACTGTACCTGTTGAAATATATGTTTCTCGTTTCAACGAGAGACTGTTCCCATGTAGAATCTACTCACGACATACAACTATCGCGTTCATTTATTGCCCCCATATATAAGATGAGGCATCGAATTATCGAATGGAATTTGTAACTGTTTTCATTTGAACTTCTTGGGTGTAATTTCCAACCTCTGTCCGGATAAGTGGGCCCTGTGCAACAGATTGATGCGGTATTCTGAAGTGATGTTATTTGCTGGATTTTCTTCGAGTCAGAGCGGCGGCTACTTTCTTGATATTTTTTTGATCGGCGCTTTATTGTTTCTCAGAGAATATCCCCTTTTGTCGGGGTTCAGGAAGGAAAAGGTTTCCAGTCTTGCCTACGAAAATATATATACGAAGTGCTTGAAAGGATGTTGGGGAGACTAGCAAATCGGTAGAATCGTGAGTGCCAGCTGTTGTGAATTATTATACATTTGTTATGACGCGTTATGACGATATGCATCCGTCAGGGGAAAAGTGTAAAGGCAGTATTGGAAGTGGAATACTTGGTTAGATCCTCTTTTCAACACGGAGTCGTAGGCTTTAACCTGTAAGATGACAGAATATGATCGAACGGTGAGAATGACGATTAAAAGGGGAACTACGTTGAAGACCTTATTTTGGTGGAAAGCTGGGGGTTAACAAGGCCGATTAAGAGGAATACGCCAGATACGTTTCATCCTAAGTTCTATCTGTATTGTTGCTGGCGACTTCAATAGATAGGATACAGCATTCTTGAAGACGGCTTGGTAGACCTAGTGACTGTTTCGACCAGACAAGATGCCCAGTTGGACGCTGTGTTCACAAACAAACGAGTTATTTTCCATACAAACACGGGCTCCTTTAAGCAACTCAGACCATTGTACTTTAAAACTGTGTCAAGTCGTATACAGTAGGTTTAAAATTTCAACGCTGACTAGACGTCCTTACAGGATTATGAACCGACGAAACTGCTCCTTGGAAAATATTGTTTGGTTCCAGACGATATTTTCTTTAATTGATTTTTCGGTCTTCAACCACAAGGACCTGTCACTCGAATGTGACAATCTTACGGACTACATCAAATATTGCTTTGACATGTGTTGCCCAGTTGAAACGATCTATCTAGGGACAGTTTGGTTTTCATTACCACACTGAAGCGGTTTCGAAGGATGAAAGAATGGGCTTCCAAGTGCAAGAGAATGATACCCATGTCAAAAGCCTAACCACAGCATTTAAATCCGAGATAAAAAGGTTAAATCAATTATACGTCGTAGCAGTTCTAGGCAACCATAACTGTCACGATCTATGGAGGCTTCTGAGGCAGTTCTGTGGTAAGAGCGTTTGCAGCCAAAGCCGTGAAGTGGATGTGGATAAACTGAATTCTGAGTTTAATTCCGCCTCATTAAGCCCACCTTCCTTGCCTTCCTTCATTAGCTCAAGTCCAGCTGCGCCCTTCGACCAAAGTAGCGTTCACACGGAACTCAAAAGATTAAAGGCAAACAAAACTTGTGGTCCGGATACTCTCTCACCATTAGCTTTGAAGGAGTGTACTGATACTCTCACACTGCCTTGAACAGATATCTTTAACAAATACCTCACTACGGGTGTGATCCTAGACATTAGGAGAATAGCCAGTATAACTTCAGTACCATACATGAATCGCAAAAGTATCGCCCACTAGCATGTAGATCTGTGCTACTAAAAGTTTTCGAAGCACTGTTAATTCTGCGAATTTGCTCAGTCGCTCCTGGGGAAGATATTTACCAGATTGCATACAGATCCCAGCGTTCCACATTGTATGCAGTGACACATCTTCGTTCTATAGCCTCTGCATTAGATCAAAAACGTAAATCCATACAGTTTCTCTTTCTGGATTATTCAAATGCCTAGATAGGCCAATGTTGCTAAACCTGCTGTCCGGAAATGGAGTTCACTCGGGTGTGTGTAGTTACTTGACTATTTTACGGATCGTACTCACTTCATTAACTTGAATGGTAAAAAATCCTGTCTTCCGTGCCGACTGTGGTGTTCTGCAGCGAGCGATCCTATCACCTTTTCTATTTTCCTTGTATGTTAAACATCTCCCTATACAACCCACGTTTTTAGGGTGTAAATATTCTGCTGATGTGCTTGGATGTATGGCTCCCACTAACCAGGAGTTTTCATCACTTCAACGTGAGTTGGAAGATCTGATGAAATGGTCCTCACCCAAATCTCTTACGCTTACTGCTTCTAAATGCAATGATGTAATATTTTCTTTTCTCCGTGGCGATTAGTTGCGGCCTCTCATACATTTCTCTCCCAACATTTACTGTGAATGAAAATCCCATACCCAGATCTTCCACCGTCAAGTATCTCGATGTCTTCTGTTCCAAAACCTTTCTTGATCCACGCATATCTGTAAAACCCTCCAAAAAGTCAGAACACTTTTTTATGCCCTCAGACTTATGGTGCTTTCAGTATCTCGTACTTTAATATTCTGATTTATGACCTCTTGCATAATTCCCCATTGGTTATACTGCTCTCCTGTCATATTCCCTGGACTGCTTCAGAAAAACTTCATCTTATTGACGCGATCTATACGACACATTCCTAGACGCAGCGGCTTGACTAGAGATTCTTTATTGATTTGCTTATTCATGGACATCGTAATGCCTGCAAAGATTTTTCTTCAAAGGTTACTAACTGATAGACTTCATCCACTTCACGGCGATCTTTCCAAAACGCTTTCTTTTTCTTTTATTCGTTCAAAATTCAGAATTTTTTCTCCCGCTCCTCATCCTATCATAGTACTGTCGTACCTTATCTCTTATCTCTGTCTTATCTCTCCCCATCGAAATTCACTAACATGCTGCGCGAGCGTTTGTTGAAGTAACATTTGTGCATTTTCCCATTTTCTCCCCAAGCCCGTATATTGCTATTATCATCCAAGTGTCCGCACCGGTGGTATAAATGCTGAAAATGAGCCCATTAGTGTTGGTAAAGCTCATTTTGACCTGACGCTTTGCGTTGAATGACGACCGTTGTTCAGTACAGCATTGACTCCATTTGATCGACTTGCCGATTCGATTCCACACCTCTTGTTGTGTTGCTCTGTTCCACTTCATTTTTCTTTTTTTCACTTTGCTTCACCTTCCCCCTTGGCGGCTAACCTGTCGATCCATTGGAGGCTTTGTACTGCAAACTTTATCATACCGTCTCTTTTTCATTCCATCTACTTCTCCATCGCAGCTGGAATTGGAGCCAAGTGGATAGCCAGACAACGGAACTCGCTGTGTACTATCCCATGTTTCAACCTCTTCTGGATGAACTCTCTTCGGTGGACAATCTACGAGTTCTTGCTCGGTGGTTCCCTCCCTCTACTGACCCAACCAATTCAGACGCACGGGGTTTGCTGCTTCTTAGGACTCTATTATACGGTGTTTATCACAAAATAGCCTTTCGTGAGTCATGCACCTCCATTTTGTATTTATCAGCGGTCCGGATAACCAACAGAATGACGACTGCGGGCCGAATTCGATTTCTATCCAAGATTTGCAGGCCGAAGCGAAAGCTCTGAGAAACTCAAATAGTAAATTAACTTCAGCATTCCATGTGAAACAGGGGTGAATGTTGTGCAACCTGAAAAACAAAAAATAATCAACATGTTCATTAACTAGAAATGATCAACGAGTGATGTATGCAACAAAGACACCTGCCTCAGACATTTTGTGCACATATCCGGATAACACAAATTAAGCAGCAAAATAATTAGTGAGGTTTGTGAAACTAGGGTTTAACTCTCAAAATATCCTGTGTTTGGTTCGGATTGGCTGCATCCGGTCAACAGAATTTCTTACAAATATTCATCGGTCAGTTTTGTTCGATGTGTTTTTCTTTACATATTTCATTTTTGAGAATGTTCACAGACTTAGGTTCCTTCAAACACTGATACCGTGCTGTCGGCAAACTTCTTTAGTTACTGAAATTCAACATAACTTTGGTAACGGTAAAATACAACAAGTTTTCCTTCTCTGTTTCATCAAACGGATTTTGATACCAAAGAATTTTCAATTCTTTCAATATCTAAAATCCTTTCTAAAAATGTCTCTTCAGATCACGAATAATTGTCCTCGGAACATCAAGAGACATTTTCGGGGACTATCGCACAAAACTCTTTAAACCAGTGTAACTAAGCAAAATTTTTCCTTTCCCGTTCCGATTCAAATAATGACAGTTTTTCCCGAAATCCGTTGATGATTCTGCAGGAATCATAGATGTTATCTTTTCCCTGAAGTTTCAAAATCATTCCATTCGTGTGGCGTATGATGTCGACCATGAATACCAACTTTGATAGCCAATTAATGTCTGACAGCTATGGGTCAGCCCTATCTTTTTCAGTGATGAAAGGAGCTAAGTTGTTGCGGAGCTTGTATAAACGAAACAGGACTTTACCACAACTTAGTTACCTCACTGGTGTGTGATAAGACAAATCACAGAATTCTGAGTCAATATTTTTCATAAAAGACTGTAACTGACGGTGATTGAGAGTATGTCCCCGAATGAAGTTAGCGATAGAAACGACAGGTTTCAGTACGCAAGAAATATCTAACTTTCCCACAGTGGTGTTGATGTAGAATACGGTGTAAGAACAGAGCTGTCGGAATTTTAGAATCTTCCAACTGAGTCGTGATCTGCCCTATCAGACCTTTTCTCACTCCAGCTATGCTTATCCCTTCAGCAATTGTCATCGTGTAGTTACACGAAAATATCCTTCCCGATTTTCGTCTCATGCATGCTGCAGACCGACGTCAACTCTTCCGGATTACGCAGCTCCGCATTGACACCACCTATGAATACGAGAAACTGTGAGTTTCTCGAGAGATCCGTAAACTCACCCAGCGCCACTGAATACCACAAAAGTTTTTAGCTCTCTCGCGTATCTGTAGTACTATGTTCTCTCCAAGTTCTTTTGTTCTCCGTACAGCTGAACTTGCCGTAAGAATGATACTTACAAATAAACGCTTTTTCAGGACATAATTCACACATTTTCTACTATACGCTCCTTGACTGCGTTGACATCCGTAAATGGTTTTCCTCCCTCTACCATCTAATGTAATATTTTATAACTAGTACGCGTGACAGCTTGATTTTCGGATAATTTTCTCATAAAAAGTGTTCTTTGGGTTTCTAAAGCGCGTTTCATAGAATCGTATTTCTCCCAGCGCTGTTTCCCTAAAAACTTTGAATATGCTGGTATGTGTTTTGCCTCATAATAACGCCGACAACTGTACTCTTTCAAAATGGCAACGCTTTCGCCGCATGTGACGGAACTGGTTTTCCGGTCCATAGTTTCCATTGTAACTTTTTTACTCCCTATTCTTTGTTGGAAACGCGACACTCGGCGTCCCCTTTCCTTTCCTTAGTACATGGGTTCAAAGAGGCTTATTCATATTTCGCTTGCATCAATAGCAAGGACAGCCGAATGCACCGCGTTGTACCTGTGTCAACGGGCCGATTGTGTGGGTCACATGCAACCAAGTGAATGGGGTCAAGCGGACGTTCAGGCCAAACGCTACCAAGCTTACCGTGCTGCCTAGTAATGTGAACGGTCCCGGTGAATAGATGACACGCTGAGTATCGCTCAATCTGTCCTAACGGATAAGCAACATGAATGGGCTAAAATGGCTGGGATGCGGCGGTGTTATTGTATAGATGTGTTCCAACTGGGGTCATGCAAAGAAATGATCGTGCATTAGTGCGGCCATAAGCACAGGACTAGTGTGGGCGTGTTGATAATAGTGCCTAAAATTGACTGGTAGCTCAGGCTGTTCAGATGGCGGTTGAACTGTTCGCTGAGCTTGGCAATTTTGTTGCAAACGTTTCGTCACCAATCGAAGTGACATCATCAGTGCGTAGTTGAGTGGCGTTCCTAAGCTTCGAACCTACCAACCGGTGCGCTCAGATCCCCGGTGAAAACCACGATATCCTTGCGGTGATTATTATGGATTAGGTCGGAGAGTTGACAGTAGAAGGCATCTTTAGCTGAGTCCGGGCTGCAACCAGTGGGAACATGCACTGTTGCGCCAAACAAACAGTTTGGTTGCCTCTCGGCTGCACAATCGTATAGGGATTACTATCCAAATTGCACACGATTAGTTATTAATTGGAATCCAAACAAGTAGTGCTGCTTCTGTGCGCTTTAGACATAATTCGTACATCGACCTGATCCTCGGTTTCTTCACTTATATCTCCCGATAAGTTTGACGGGAATGTGTCCTGCAAACGCTTCTGGGATGACGTAAATTCATGTCTTAGCTTGTTGTGCGCACATAGAGCTTTTCAGTTACCCAGGTAGGAAATGGGACTTAACTTATGTAAGCAGGGTCAGCGCCCTAGTTTATAAAGACCGCAAAGCAGTGATGTGATTAAGGTATATCGCGAACCGTCGAGAGCCGATAACACGATTTTCGAGTAGCAACAAACTACCCATGGAGCCGGAACACTACTAGTATGGCAGTAAATGGCACAGGAAACGTTTCCTGGAACATCCGACTCGTTGCCGAATGCGAAAACAATCCACAGCCAGGTGGCTCAAACGCCATCTTAGTGTTCGATGTTGGTCCATACTGAAGCGTGTAGTAATCGAAGTTGTTCATCCACCCTCCGTTAGGTACTTCGTTCCGGTTAAAAAATGGGTGGTCACTGACCCTATAGCCGGAAACATTGGGTTTGTCCCATAGTTACACGATCTCTTGTGGTATTTAATACAAAACCAGACGGCCAGACTCGAACTCGCCACACTCTGAGACGCTGCACTGATTGTCCGCAGTTGCCTATTAAGCTCAACTGTGAAACAAGCAAGACTCATTCACACTTACTCTCAGTAGGAAGGCGTTCCTCGATTCACAACCTACGTGACCGCGCGACACCGTACAATCAGCACGTAAGCCGCTCCATATGTAGACATCTCATTCTCAGTTTCGTCTTGCATCACTACTCCTCCACCCATAGTATATCCTAGTATCACCGCAGCTGTAATATACGCCTAACTGTGGTATCACTTTTATCTTCGGATTTTGTGGTCCACACCCTACCAACCTACGGGACTCGTTCAGCATTCATTTCATTTCCCCTACTAAACAGTACTCAGTGTAACTTTCACGCATTGCTTTGAAGCGCATTGCGTGCCAGCCTTAGAGCAAGCACTAAGACAACTCTATACATCAGCTGCATTACAATCGTATTGCTCATGTTGATACCTCTCCCATCGCAATCGCTGCGCTGCGGTCATCGCACCAGTGAAGGCGTCTATGTCCACCGGTGCACATGCGATTTAGCGGTGTAACCAAAGTAACCTGTGGCCCCCGCGCCTCAATGCGCCACTCATATTGTGTCTGTTGCCCTGTGCATGCCATGTGTCCACAGCACGCGATAGATCGTAAGGACAAACGCCTGGGGTTTAACTTAATAACCTGGACTGTCGGCCGTGTCAGAATGCGAGTAGCCAGTGGCCCTACTCGACAACTGGCTCTGTTAAAGTGGTCCTGTGAATCCCGCCCAAATTCCTTATCATACACTGACCCCGTTTCCTCTTAGCCTGCTGTGGGTGACCTAAGATATTAACGAGTTACTACCCCCATCCCCCGTCATGTAATCCTTCACCGCCCGTGTGACAAGCCGCACACGACCAATTCCGGGCTGAAGTGATTCCTCTACATCCCCGTGCCCAATACATGCGTACACGTTGCTAAGTCTACTATGCATCCCATATGATATTGACTGGTGGCGTTTGGTTAAGGAAGCAATCGCACGACAGTGCGCTCATGTCACAGTCGCCTGGCTGAACTTGATTCATCGGAAGGACTAACCTGTTAGCAAAACAAATGCAAATGATATCTGGTTAGCTCAGTTTGTTACTTGTATGGCCTAACATCACTTGGAGATGGTATGGATCATATATAGTTAGCGGCATCCGGTTCCGGATTTGCCTATCACTGTGGCCTCCATAGGACAGTCACATGGCGCCTGCGCTCACAGAGGGAGGATGGATGGCTTCACTTCTCCACCCACAGCGCCATCCACACACTCCGTATTTAGTGTAAACCCGAAGGAATATGGCCTGCAGGCATGTTGATGGGAGCCAAGTGTCATCAACGGATTCGGCCCTCGCCCCTTCACCCTGCACAGTAGCAGCATTCCTGTCTATTTATGTGGGGAAGCGTGCGCACCAGACGTACACAAGGCGGTGACTGGACCGTAGTCCGCTCCATACTGGTTGGAACCACTCTTTGAGCCTCGCACGGCCACGAGGACCATGCACCCAGTCCTCCCATCCCAGCAACGATTTGCAATCTTCTTTAGCCAGTAATCGAGGTGGAGGGTGTTAGTTAGGTATGCACCTTGTCAACATTCACATCAAGCGCAGCCACACCGGGGATATCAAACAACCAACATAGAATTT